TTTGATGCGATGTAACTTTCTATCATCAATTAAACCCCGAGCAAAAATTCGAGATATGCCCTTGATTCCGCCGTCGTCGCACCGTTCCCAATAACTCCGAAAACTTTCGTCGATTCCGTTAAAATATTTCGCCTTAGTGGCTATCATATTAAAAAACTTTCTTACGTTTACGTTTAACACCCAGCGCGTAAGCCCCGAACAAACTCTAATTGGAAATTTCATGTATGACTGGCTCTAATTTGATTGATAATTTATGTCGTGTCATTCCGAAAGTTATTTTCATTTTGTAAACCGCACGAATGCATTTTCCCCGACGAAATCCGGGCGAATTCCACGCCAAAAGTGCGGAATATTTCGCCAACTGGAAAGGCGGAAATTTTCGTACAGAAACATTGGTGGAATTGCGACGAGAGTGAGGCACGACCGATTTTAGCATCGCCCGTAATTTATGCCTTTCCCTTATAACAATATTTTCGCTTCTACCGTTCGTCGAATTCGCAGCTTGTTTTTTTCCTAATTAATTATAAATAATTAGGTATAAGTTTGGTTCCCTTCACCGCAATGATTTTCAAGCCTTGGTTAACGCAAGAAGCAGACACAACGGATCGTCTAGTCTCCTCTCTTCTATACAAATCATAAGTCACTAAGCGAAACATCTGGACAACATATTTATTTATCAACCGTTTAGCCGTTACCTCCCGTAACTGAACATCGAAGAGAACTTCTGGTTATTTTATCATCGTCTCTACAGTGAGTTAGTCATCGAAAGAAGGTCACTTTTTATGGTATCCAATTCCTAACGATCATGAAAAATGCTGTAAGTACAGGAGTCTCCATGCAAAATGTATTGCATACACGATTCCATTATAAAATTAGATTAATTACTATCTAAAGTGCGACAGTAATAGCTGAAGCATCGAAGGTCCAATGCGCAATGTCCTATTCGCGCATTACAATCCTAAATAGATGCATAAGATATTTAAAGGACAATTACCCCAAAATATCACAATTTCCCCACGACTCCTGTTTAGTTGTGGAAGCTCGCTTAGAAGAGATATAGGAAGCCATTTTAAGCATCTCCTAAAGGTAAGATGTAATTGATTAAAGCGAGCGTTGCATCTCGAAATATTCTCCAACGAAATTTTCCTTCCGTTGGAACATTTCGTTCGGTTGTGGGAAAAGCCCTGCGTGGAGGATCGAATTACCGTCGAGTGCGGTAAATGCGTGTGCACGCGCGGCGTCGAACTCGGCGCGGTGAAAATCCCGGTTCTAAAATTAACACCCTTCACGAGAGTTCGAGGTTCGAGTTCATTGAAAATACCAACGCGTGCGCATCTAAATATAACCAACTTAAGTATCAGATTGAATTTCAGGCTAGCGTCTAGTTAAGTAAGTATTATGACTTTATTAGTTTTATTGATATTTCAGCGAGAGCGTCGGAAGAGGTCAGTGACCAGGGCGGGATGGCGAAAGTTCGCATCCGAATGGAAGGGAATTATTCGGAAATAACCGGAATTAGGCGCTATTCCTACATAGTTTTTGATTGTCATTTCGAATGCGTAAAGTTAATTAGTAAACGCCAAATAAGTTTATCTTGTATGCATAAAGTTAGCTAGGTAAATTCGTTATTTGCATTCGCAGAGTTTACTGACTTTTTATTAGTCTATATAAAGCTAACTTTATATTTATATCGCGGGAATTAGAATAAACACACGATGCAGGTGCATTGAGTCGAGATTATGCGACAACTATTAAATAAAAAGTAACGACTAAATTGAAAGCACCGCGTAGATTTTTGCAATTTAATACCTTCTTAAAGTAACAATAGTTTTGATGAAACGTACAAAGTCGCAGTTAAACTTTAATTAAGAACTAATATTAACTTCGAGAACTGCTTTAACTATTCCGACATGAGAAATTAATATAAACAAATACATCTCTGATAACTCGAATTATTAATCTCCGTTATTTTTTTTTAATGTTGAGGCAAATACTTAGAATTCCATTAAAGAGTTTGCTTAATCCTCGACGTTTAAACTTTCGCGAACTATTGCTATATACATCACCCTTAAGTTTGCTCATGTTAAATATAGCGAGCATACTAAAATTCTTATCTTAATGTAGTGGCAATATAGAATTTTGTATTTTAAATTGAGGTAATTTAATGGGAAAAATATGAAAATTACACACTCAAATTCTGTACCCCAGCAAGCCCACTTATATCCAAAAAGCAATAAAAAGGAAGTTAGAAATAATTTAAAGTGAAATTTTAATTTAAATTTATGAAAACTAAAATTACTTTGCGCCACTCGAAGGTAATGAAAAAAATTACCTTTTACAAGCAGTTTTCCATTTAGAAGTTTTTATTACTTATAAAACGGACGTAATTCGTATTATTCAATGGTTGTAATGAAAGTTTAATTAAATACGATTTCTTTAACGCATCGTTTTTCAAATATCTCATAATATAAAACACTCGGCATGTTTGCTCGCAATCAATCTATAAAAACCAATCCTTTTAAAAGGCGTCGAAAATTAATATTGTATAAGGAAGAGAGTATAAATTTATTAGGTATAGGTAAAATGATTTTTTAATAGATGCAATTAATCCTAAAGTAATATGAATATCCAAATATAGTCTTCTCGATACAAAAAATGTTTCTAAAATGGCTTTAAAAAATTTACATTAATATTGAATAAAAAACACTTTTAATCCTACGCTCTCCATTTTAGTCAAAAAGAAAAAAAATCGATTGAATTTCATTTCATAATTGCTTCTTAATTAAATCCAACTTGCCAAAGAGATAGTAAAATCGAGTTCAATAACGTCATATTATTCTTTTTTTTTAATACAAGAGATATTAATCGGTGCACTTTTTGCTTCACTTTCACATTATCTATTCTCTGATATTTTTTGGGGTTTTAATTATGCATAAAAGTTCTGGAAAAGCAAAAGTATTTCTAGTAAATAAATATTTGAAGAAATAAACGAAAACATAAATTATGGATAGAAATGATGATATTACATTTGTCACATATGTGGAAAAATATTTAAAGATATAATACAGAAAGAAATTAGATAACATTTTCATATCTAAAAATATCTTTAGTACGAAAATAGGAAAACTATAAATCTAAAAAAATAATGATAAATTGGAAAATAACTAAAAATATTTTTTTACCCAGTTTTTTGCTTTAAAAATAACCTTGTCAAATTCGCGAATAAAAACGTTTGTAACAAAGCACAATAAAATAAAAGAAAATTATAATGAAAGAAAACTCTGCACCAATTAACCTGCTACATTTGACACTTCCGGCAACGCTTAACTTTATACAATAATTGAAAATCATAATCGCTCCTGTTTGCTCCTCCGCCCATCAATTGATGAACTGGAAAATGAAAAATTAATCACAATAAACAGAATGCTCGCAAAATAAACGTAGAATTGTTTATTATTGCTATTGTGGGACGTGACAGCTTTATTGAATGGCCGTTTTAGATTCGACCCTTTTGAATTACTGCTCTAAAAAGGGCCGGGTTTGCGTCACGAAGGCACCGTTATCAGGATCGGCCTCGAACAATGTTTGATATTCGAAAAAACAAGGGAGTAATTTATTGATTTGAAGAGGATTAACCTACTGTTTTTTATAAGTAAGCTTCGGAGATTGGCAAACATTTTCGACGACCGAAAATAACTTAAGGGCAATACCGTGCGGGATTTTGATGAGAAAAAATACCGATTAAATATTCGTTTAGAGGTCGCAATGATTTTCCCATGTTCGTTTTATTGGCGCTCACGACCGCTCTTAATTCCGAACGATTATTCGCGACAATACAATGTGTGGATTACGTGATCGAAGAGTATTTATGTTTTAAATTCGCGCCAAGTGGATTTCGCCAAAAATATTAGCTTGTGATGATCGTTTGCAATTAACTCTACTAGAATTTTTCGAAAATTAATTTTCTTTCGTTTTGTGTCCAGTTCTAAGTACTAAAGAGAAAATTACTGGACTTAAAAATATTCAATGTCGTGATTTTATCAATTATTGGATAGTTAGTTTAGAGGAAAAGGAGAGTTAAATGTTTCATGTTTCTATAGCATCGATGTTACAATGCTTTCAAATTTAGGTGTGTCAATTTCAGTAATTAACCATTATCTTTATAATATATCAAATAACAGATTAACAATGTGATACAGATAAAAAACTTAATGTAAACCAATACATGATTACAGGAAAAGTGAAATGTATATTTTTTTAATTTTCAAATTCTAAATTTATCTGATGATAACTAGAGTAGTTAATAAGAAGGAAACAGTAAGAAAAACAATAAGAAATCGGGTAAAAATGTAAAAATACTACACAAAGATAAACAATAGTGAAAGGTACTTTTTAAAAATCTACGAGAAATCGTCGTAATTCATAACACAAAATGCCAAAAAGAGTATCTACTTAACACTAAATAAAATTAGGAATAAATAAAAAACTGTAACCATCTAACATCTATAATGCCATTAGTAAAACTGTATAAGGAAGGTATATCAAATTTCCTGAATATATTTTGCGTTACCTGAAATTTACTATCTACTTGAAACACGAATTGAAACGATCTTAGAAAGATATTTCGCGAATTTATTAACATTAACCTTTCACTGAAATGCCCTGATACATCTAGAGTATAAAAGAAATGGATCCGCTATTTCTTGATCACTTTCAGTCTTTAATCATTGTGGTCACATTTATTACGAACATTTTATTATGTATTTTCAAGTGAGTATACTGCAATTATTTATTAATCCAAATTAATAAAATATTAAAGTAAAATTTGAGTGATTATCAATAATTTATTATTTTAAATTAGGTACTTTGATTTTAAGAGATTCGAAGTAATTTTCTAACTCTAAATATTAACTTCTTTTTATTTGAATGTTTGAAATTATATTTTTATTACACACATTTTACTTTAATTTGAATCTGTTTAAAGAGTAGTTTCAATAATAATGCAAATAAATCAAAAAGTGAGTTAGTTATTTTTTGTGGGCATCACTTTGAATAATTCTCGAACCAAAAATAACACTTCACGGTTTATCAAGCAAATGTAATGGAAAAAAACGTACATGAAGAAATAAGAAATGAAAGACATAAAAAGATCCATTCACTTTTACTTTTTTGTTCACTTTAATGAAAGTAATTTGATCAAACGATAAATTAAGAGTTTTAATTTATTTTGTAACTGTAATTGCAATTCAAAACGAAGAAATTATAAATATTTAATGTTAAAAGTTTTCCGACTATTATAATGTTTCAGTTAAGAATTACCATTAAATAAGTATTATCTAAGAGTAAGGTGTACAATTTACATAAATTTATAATTTTCACGAACAATACTTTTAGACCGGCAATTTATTATTTTTAACAAAAATAAATACTTTGAACTTTCTCAAACGGCTCAAAATTTAATTAGAATTCGAAAGGCTACATTTTATACTCGAAGAACAAAGTGTAACTTGCAAACTCGTTCACCGACTCGACGGTTTTATCTACATCCCGTTTAATTTCTTTCAGAAACAGGCATTTTGCGTTCTGTTCGTCCTAAAATTGACTGTTGCCAGTATCGGCGAAGGCGAACTCGGCGATTTTGGAGAAAGTCACGGATGGGAAAACTTTCAATCGACTTCATCGGACGAGCACAAATACGACTTATCGCCCCACACGATCGTACACACCAAACCCGTTCACATACCGGTGGTGAAGAAAACCGGAGTACCGCACCCTCAACCCGTCCACATTCCCATACCCCAAGTAGTCAAAGTCGGCGTTCCCCAGCCTTATCCCGTCCAAGTAGCCGTACCTCATCCGGTCGCGGTACCCATTTACAAACTGATACCTCAAGAAATAGAGAAGAAAATCCCCATTCACGTTAATAAGTTAGTCCCCGTTTACATCAAGAAACCCTACAAAGTCATTTTGGAAAAACATTACCCGGTATACGTCGACAAGCCCTATCCTGTTCACGTACCCGTTTACAAACATGTCTACCAAGAAGCTAAGAAGAGCCACAGTGGATTCGATCACCATGAAAAACACCAGTAGCATGTGAATACACCGTTTGTTTATTTTGTTATAATGTGATTACCGTTGTTAATAATTTTATTGTTATATATTTGTTTAATAAAACTGTTGAAAATACTTTGAAGTTTCGAATAGCTCAACGAAGCAATGCAGCGAAATGCATAATTTTTAAATTGTACTATGTAATATTCGAGCAAGCGGGAGATTTCCGCGCATTTTCCGTTCTGTAACTACTGAACCTTCGAAATTTCACCCGATGTTCTGTGTGACACATCAAAGCTATAACTGTCAGAAGAATGCAATAAAATGCAAAAGCGCTGAGCTCTGCTCTATAAAATGGCAAAGTACATATATTAGAACAGAATATAAGCGAGCTGTAGGTATGTGTAATGTTTAAGACCACGTCATGGTAAAACGTTCTTTTTGTAATAATTCGTTTACTATTAAGGGATTAGAGACAAAGTTGTTTGATGTATATTAATTACAGAATACGATGATAATGCTTTTATTGGGAAAATACTGTAATTTTTTGTTCCAAAATGCTTAAAAAACGAGATTTTTTAATACCGAAAAACCAATTACTGCAAATGTCATAACGTAAATTGAATTTAATTTCCTGCTCTTTGTTCAAGTCAAAGGGGCATACATGTCGAGATCATATTTCACGTATCTATTATCGTGCATCAATTATATTGTTCAAGTCGTTTACTCGCAATACAATTGCCTATAAATCCACAACATCAACAATTGTGCACAAATTCTTCATCAGGTAATTTACAGTGCGCCTAACAAAGTTATTACTATAGTTTAATTTCCTTTTATTTGTCGAAATGATAGTTAAAATAATGCCTTGTTACATCTGATATAATTCCTGAATTTTCTTTCTTTTCGATTCCCCGAAAACTTTTCTTGTTCCAACCGAAATGATTTATACCGTATAAATCAAACCTAATATGAGTACACTTTTCCACATAAATAAATCGTAGAGATCCGCTTTTCATCTATGGAATAGAATTTCGATGCAGATTCGGGTGGTACACCGAAATTGGGTTATAAATTACGAGAGGATGTCTCATGTATTATTCCATTTATAATGTATTTATGCAAATATATCACATAGTTGCATAAATTTCGAATCGGTATTTTGTTTTACATATTGGCGACGGTGTCGCCGATTTATCTTTACTGACCTGAGAAATTGACTTTCTCGTTTCTTATGAAGAATTGTTTCGATACACTTCGATACAAAACTTGAGGTTGTGGAATTAATTCAATCCCGAAATCCTCATTAAGTTCGCGAACCAAAAAATGCGCTTTGCAAGAAACCGCTTTAAAACTAAACTTATATTCATGCTGTTAACAAAAGTTATTGGAATCCAGTCGTAAACTTTTCATTCCAATATTTTATCCAGCGGAGAATTCTTATTTATCAGAGCAACGTTGTTTTGCCCCACAGAAATGCATTTTCTGCAAGAACTTCCAATTGGAGCGTGCTACGGGGCTCGCAAAACGTGATTCGCCTACCACAGATGTACGGCTACCCCATAGCCCCCGGGCACGCGGAGGCCCACAGTCAGGCCCTCGAAGTTTCAGTTGTTGGGTTAGCACAGTGCCGGCGGTAAATCGAAAATTTACCCGAAATTAATCGAACCGCTAACAACGACGAGCGTACGTTAGAAACGCGAAAATGAAATATTTATCTGCACGTCATAACTTACAGCTTCTGATTCCGCCGAGCATCGTATAAATTGTAAAACGTACTTACGCGAAATCTCATGTGAGAAATTGACTTGTTTACACCGCTTCGAACTCAGATTGCGATGCGCCAGCTCCGATACTTTAACCGACGATTGGGAAAAATAAATTACCGAATGACATGGGATTACTTATCTGTTTGTACCTAACGGAATTGTGCAAGTTTTAGACAAAAACACTCAAAACAAGATCAACGGAGACTCGCGAGAATTAAGAAAATTGATTAATATACCTATATTATACAGAGAGCTCTTTTGGAATGATTAAATTGATTGATTAAAGCAGATTAAATAAGAAAATTCTTATGTTAATGTATTATAAGTATAATTTAACCCGCCACTGATCGCTGCAGTGGTAGATGAAGCTGACCGAAAGCAAAAGAGAATACGAAAGTACTTTAGTCTGAATGCTGGAAAATAGATAAAATTGAATTAATAAAGCTACTCTTTGTTAAAAATGTGAACGAAGAATTCGTACGCATTAAGAAACTGAATGATATAAATGCAAAAATTAGTGCAGATAACGCCGCGATAACGGTGAATATAATTTAAATCTACCAGTTTTTTTTGTTCCTTTAAAAATAGAACAAAATCCTTTATTACCAACGATTTAAAAGCGCCCAGAAAATACTAAAACAGGTACTCTGTGAATACTTTGGCTCCAATTAAATCTTCTTATAGGTATAACAATTAAAAACAATTTAAAAACTATTGCGAGCATCAGTGAAATTATTTACTAATAGTGGATTTGCTTCGAACTTAGAATGAAGGAATAATGCATTTAATGCCGATCGCTATATTTGAAACTTATAACAATAACCGTGAATGTGTACGCCGAATTCCCATTATCCGAGAACAATTTCGTTCGAATATATGTATGTATGTATATGGGTTTATATCACGACAAAAAAAAACCAACGAAAACGGTTTTGATCGTGTACAAGATGCACATGCGGAACTTTGTTCGTACGGTGTACGGAGAAACTAAAGAGATTCTGCGATAAAACAAAAGGCAAAACTTCATTTTAAATTCCAATCTATTTGAGAAAACTTCTGATAGCCTTTTGTCTATAAGAAATGGAGCGATACGAAACTTTTCCGGCCCAACCCACGTAGTCGGCTGCGATGGTGATGTGAATTTGCCTTTTTGATGCCCAAAGGGTTATTCGGTTTTATTACAGTTTATTGCTTTTGCGATTCCCTCGGATTGTGTAGTGTGCTCGGGAACACAACGTACGTCCATGTAACCGTTGCCCAATGCATTTTTATGAGTAGTTTTATATTGCCAACGTTACGAAGAGTTGCTTTATTTAATGCTATAGGTTTACAGTTAGAGGATTACTTAACTTTATGAGTTATTGATTCGATCATAAGAAATCCTAAATAGCCAAAAATAAAAAAAAAAGGTATAGGTATACATTAGCTAGATATATGTATAAACCCTTTGTTCTGTTTTAAATGTGTACCAACTCGGAAATTATGTATTAAATGTCAAGGTTCTAGGTGAAATATTATAAATAACAATGGATCCAAAACAAATGTGGCGGCAAAAATATTTTAGTCCAATAAACTAATAAGCTAAATTTTAAATACATGTAGATATACTCTAATAAATTAATTGTATTATATTACATATTAAAAATATTACTTCCTTCTAATTTGTATTAAATAGATTAATTCAATCAATTAATCAAAATATAAATTGACATATCCTAAATAAAAATCTATCCTGTACTGAATAAATTAATCACTTTTATCCAAAACCTATACTTTTCAAAATATTCAGCTTAAATTAGAAATAGGAATATACAATATGTAAATAATGGGGACAAAAGAAATCTGCAGATTGAATTAATCAACTATGTAAATGTTACACGCAAGTCACAGCCAATTAGTTATGAAAACGTAGGTATAAATTAATTGGACAACGTGCGGTACAAACGCTTATACTAACCAATTATTTGTCATTAGTGCTAATAGGCTAACTCTGGTCGCAGTTCTGTTTAGTAATCCACAGTGAACGCACATGATGTGGAGCGTTCCGTAATTCCAATACGGGAAAACTGTGGAATGTGGTCAGTAGGTGCATCGATCTCGCCGTATTTCGGATGTATTGCAGAGATTTTAATACCGTATTTTTCTTCATGACAAGCCCGATAAATTAGCAAACATTAATCGCAGAAAGATTTCTAGTCTATCGCAATGAAAAATCCGCCTATAGTAAAACAGGCAAACAAGGATATATCGGCGAATTTCCGTTCTGCGCGTCGAGTGATATTTCTTTTTCTTTAATAAAATACTCGGGCCATATATTTAGGGCAACTCTCAATTTCCATAAATAATATAAATTGGTTTTTCTCACTCGCGGCGGCTGCCTCAGTGGCAGCGGGAAACGTCAACACTTTCCCGAATGTGGAAGCACGAAAAACAAGATCCTGAAAAATTGAAATAAAACCAATCCCTCTACGACAAGATAATAACATTGCGGGAAAAAAACTCAATAAAACGGAAAGAGAACTTCGGGGAGTTTCGAATAATTGACAGTTGTGAAAAATGTCGACGCAGTAATTTATATCGATCCTCAAGATTTATAACAAAAACTGTTACAATATTTATATTGCGCTAGATATTTTCCTGTGCAGACTGATTTACAGTAAGTATATCGAAAAAGTAGCAATACCTAATATAATCTACGTAAATAAGAATGTAAATAATAAGCAATAAGCTGATTATAAAAAAAATGCTAACATTTTTCCAATCAAAGGAACAGAAATGTCATATTATAGTTAAATGGGGTTTTCCTCTATGTAAAACGATGCATGGAAATTGAACTTTACCTAACTAAAGGAACTTTAAAAGCAGCATAAGAACTCACTGGCAACTTCCAGGAAAATATTTACACAAAGAATAAAAAGATCGGTCGTTTTATCGAGGGACATGCCGTATCAAAATGACGATCGCGTTTGCTATAATTATCAGAACCGGCCATTAATCCATATCGACTGGCAACATCTGCATTTCTCTTCCCAATTAGCAACTAGCGCTGTGCATCATCGAGTACAGTTCACATTTATGTCAGCACAAAATACCATAACTTATTGACAAATTCTTGGAATAAACCTAATACTCAAACTCCCACGCATTCCCGGCCGAATTCTCTTGATTGATTAAATTAAAACCATCATAACGAAAATTATTGTGGTAATATCACAGATAACATTTTAAAATTTAATGATGCAATTTGTCGGATACGAACATTTTATGTCT